ATAAAGGGATGCTCAGATAGACAGACTACTGGGCTCTGCGGAGAGGTCCCATGAGGCACCCTCATGCCTGTGCATGCCCTGGGACGATGCTGGGCATGAGCAGACAGGCGATTACAATTTTGTTCAGTTCTGCTCACATTACATTGAGAGGGAGAGTGACCAACTATAGGGAGTTTTCAGCCAGGAGCAACGGCGCTGGGGTGATTGAATCATAGGAGACGATGTGAGGAGCAACATCTATTTAGTGGTGCTGAAGTGAGAACTGGCGGGCAGGGACAGCTGAGTGCATCAACCTCAGCGAGTGAGAGCAGTTAACAGGGGTGACTTCAGCTGTGTGACCGAGGACAGAGGGATGGCACAGAGGGCAGAAGAATGTGGCCTGAACTTAAGGACAGCTGAGCAGCAAGGCCCAGCCACCAGTTTCATCTCCCCAGGGGAAGCGAGGAGCTGGCCTGGGAGCTAGGTCCTATCTTAGACAAGAGATCAAAGGCCTCTAAGGCTCTCCCACACCCTGTCACCCTCTTCCTCTGCAGTGACTCAGAGCTCGGGGTTGTTCCCCTGCCTCCAGCACCCCTCAGTGTTGCCTCCTTCCCGTCCCAGAGAGAACACCCGGGACACCCATTGCTGTTCTCCTCTCTCTGACTCCCTCCTTGTGGGACCAGGGGACCTCAGTTCTGTCCCCTGAGAGTCACGCAGAGCGCCTTGTCCCTGTCTTAACAGTGGCTGCCTCCCAGTTCATCTTCTGGGTGATGTTCAGAACTGACCAGTCTAATGCACCAGCAGTGCACAGTAGAGCCAGGTCTGCCTGTCCCCTGCCCTGGGTTAGAGGAGCCCTGAGAGTAGGTCCCATCTTTAATTCTCCTCCACTTGGATCAGGGCCGTTTTCCCTTCTGGCTTCTGTCCAGCTGGGCTCCCTCTTCCTTCCCGCTTACTCCGTGAGATGGGAGGGAAGGTTTGAACTTGGTGCCGGTGCTGTGCCCTTGCTCCCTGAGGCTCCCCGAGGCTCCCAGGCATACGGGAGGGAATTAAGCATGAAACACCAAGCGCAGTACCACAGTGCCAGGCGAGGACCTTGCCTTGGCCACATCCTGGGGTCCTGGCCGTAGGTGGGAGGGGTGGGGGAGAGCCGGGAACTGCAGGAGATTCAAAGTCAAGATCAAAGCGTTTCCCTCTGAAGCCCTAACACTCTCCTTCCCTCCCACTTGCACATAAAAGCACTCTGCCCTCAGCAGGCTCTCTGCTGGGGAGGGTGGGTGGAGGAGGGGGCTGCTTTTCCCCCTCGCTTTTCCTGTGTTACTAATAACTCTTCCCAGAGGTGAAATGGTGAAAATTCCTTCCACCCCTCCTCCCCCATGCCTGCTTTTTGCCCGGATCCAAAAGGGCCTGAAGCCATTTCAATGACAGTGAGTTCATGGAAGACCTGGCCTGCTTTGGGGTGTTACCAGCTGCTGCTGGCACGGGGGAGATGCAGCCAGCAAAGCCTTTGAAGTGTACAGTAGAAAGACACTGTTAGAGGCAAAGTACAAGGAAGGAGGTTTGAAAAGAAAGCAGAGCAGTTTGGCCCACAGGAGGGGGAAAGGCTAATTAAGGCACAGAGCGTAGAGGAGGAACAGGCAGAATCATTAAGATATCACAGCAGGAGCCGATGGTGGGGCTCCATGGAGGTTTAAGCCACAGCAAGCCTGGCCTCTGCTGTTCGCTCCCCCTCGGTTCTCCATTCCCACCCTCTGCTTTGGGGTGGCCCAGCAGTGTGGGGGACTTTGTCAGTCAGTTCAGGTTGCTGATCCAGCTGAAAATGAGTTGTTATAGTTCATACCCTAATACAGGCAGAGCTGAAACCCAGAACGGGTGTCCCCATTACTCCTTCCTTACTAATGAACATGGAGAGGGCCATAGCTTGCAGGTGATCCCAGAGTGAAGCAGCTGCAAGCTCCAGTGAGGACAGGCATATACGAAGAGGCTGGAGACTGGACACCTGGGCAGGAAACCGCAGATTCAATTTTGGAAAGCCCGGGAAGGTGATACTCTTCTGGCAGTGCTTCATTACGCAACATGGCACAAAGCCGGCAGCATTAAGAAAGACCTGGGAAGGGAAACCCGAGGGAAAGCAAACTGCAGGGTCAAGGCTGCAGTTCTGTGTTTCTTTTGGTGGTGATGGCAGCTGCTGCTTGTTTCAGAGAGCGCCCAGGGCCCCTTACCCTGCAAAGGCACTGAAAGATGGGTTTGTCAGGCTGCTCCCTACATCCCAGCTACAGGCCCCGCAGGCAGAGAGGGACGGGAGGGAAGCGTCAGCCCCAGGAGGCAGTGGGGACCACCGGGAGGCAGGGGCTGGGAGGCAGAGGGTGCGGGAGGGTCTGGACAGGGGCTTCCTCCACCAGTCCTAGGCAGGGGGAAAATGCATCTGGCAGCAGGCAGGGGAGGACGGGGGTTGGGAAGTTTCACACCTAGCAAGCAGGAGCAGATGGGGCTGGGGTTAAACACCACAAGAAACTAACTTGCACTGCCACAAGGAGCCCCGGACTTAGCAAGCCATGCCCGGCTCCCCCTTCCCTGGGTCCACTGGGCAGATGGTTTAGTGACGGGTTAGCAATGCGGAGGGGGTTTCTCTTGGGTCTGTAGCTAGTCAGGCAGCTGAGATATGGCCCTGCAGTGTAAACAGAGCCATACAACTCTGCTCAAGTTGTGATTGCCCAGTCCTTTCCCAAGCCCTGCCCCCAGGCACACTCTGAAATGGCCATGGTGTTTGCTGGGGGAGAAACGTGAGAAGTAAGAGCCGGAGTGCTGTAAAAGATGTAAATGTTTCAGTGCTGAGAGCAGCTCTGGAGTGTCTAGGGCACAGTGTCAGTGGGGGGATGGAGAAACACGGAAAAGGCACTTCTCTTTTGTTCGTGATCTTGGCTGCCTTAGGAGGGGTCCCAGGAAGAGCCCTGGAGCTGATTTACTAAAGGGAGCTTACACCATGTGCTTTATCAGGTGGTGGTCGTGGGGTGACAGGGACAGGACAAAGGGCAGGGAGAAGGAGGAGGCAGGAGGAAGGATTTGGGATAGACAGTTGTGGCCATCTCATCTCTGTGTCAGATCCCCTGGCTCCCTTGGTGCTGGGAAGCCATTTCAGCAGCAGGGGAGGGAAGGAGAGGAATATCCCCTCGCCATGAGGTGGGAGAGGGAGCAAAGAAGTCAGTTCAGTCCCAGTAACCACTGACAAGGTGACACACACAATTGCCACAGCTGCAATACTGCACCGTGAGAGGATGTGACTGCCTAGGAGCAACCGTCACCCAGCTCTGATGCAACAGCTGACGAAAAAAACCCCAATCCTTTTAACATAAAAATTAGTCATCACTGAGGTCAGATTTTCAGAGAGCTGATCTCTGCCCTCTGGAGCTTAACCTTTAGGTATGACTGATAGCATTGTGAATTCCAGCAGTAAAAGAGCTGAGAGAAGGGAGATGAGGGCAAGGAGAAAGGGACACTGGACACCATAGGGCAGGGCCATTTGCTGATGTGCCTTTTTTCATCCCTGAGCGTGTATACTTTGATTTCATGTTTTGAAGTGCCTGGACCCATGGGCAGGTAGCAGCAGAGCAATGACCACAGAGACAAGGCTGAGGGAGAAGAAAGAGGGACCTGGGAGGTGGGAACTGGCAGGAGAATGAAGCTACTTGGAATATGGGAAGGGGGACCCATGGGGTACGTGCAGAAGCCCAGAGACTGCAGAAGCAGCAGCATAAGCAGGATGCTTGAGGAAGGAAGGGACTCCAGCTTGTAGGATCCCTCATCTCCTATCATCAGACTCGTCCAGAAGTTTACTTGTACTGAAACATTTCATAACCCTGAGTTCAGCTGACTATCCAAACCTGGGAAAAAAAAATACTTGGTATCAAACTTGAGATCACTGAGAAGCCAGAGAGGGTCGATTCACTGACACGGCCCATTGCTGCTTTCATCAAGTCCCTCCCCACCCTCCGCCCGGGGTTTCGCTCTCCCTCGTTCCCTTTCGTGCAGGAGCAGCGAGCACGCGCTGCCATTTGCCATCTCGCTGGGAATCGCTGCCTTATCCCGAGGTCTCGGCTTGAGAAATCCCCCGCTGACAGTGGCTGCCACAAGCTGGGTCCCCTTTCGAAGCAACCCGAAACTTCACATCCCGCCCCAAAATAACCCAAACGTGCAGGAATGAGCCCTGCTCCCCTTTCCCATGTCCCCTGGGACAAGCGGGCAATGCCGGCTGCCCAGGGGGACCGTCCCTCAGCCTCTGGGGTCCCCAGAGGGAGCAGCCCATGCTTGTCCAGCTCCTTCCTCAGCAGAAGAGGCGGCAGTGCCCCATTTCTCCGGCCCTGCCG